CGCCGGCTCCTACCTCGCCCTTCTCCTTGCTGCCGTTGGTGGACACCCGCGGCTTGGGAAAGCCGGACCTCTTCAAGGGGGACCCGGCGGTTTTCAATGATTGGGTTTTCATCCTGCGCTCCTACCTCTCGGCCATGGACCAGCGCTACCAGGCCCTTCTGCAGCGAGCGGAAACTTCGACCACTGGACTCTGGAACAGGACTTTGGATCCAGTGGAGAAAGGCCTCAGCACACAACTTTATTTTATACTTGTGATGCTGTGCCGCGACAGGGCGCTGGACAAGCTGCACAACGCAGGGGAGTCCGAAGGACTTGAGGCATTTCGCCAGCTGTACCTGGAGTACAACCCCAAGCTTTCCTCACGCTATGTGGGGTTGCTTTTGGAGATCCTGAGGTACCGCTTTGAGGGCGACCTGGTGTCCTGCGTGGAGTCCTTTGAGAGAAAGGTGCGAGAGTATGAGAAACAGAGCGGCAAGGATGTGGACGATGACACCGTGATCGGCATCGTTATCCTTGGGATGGCGGATGCTGCTGTGAAGGAGCATCTGGTACGGCACGCGAGCCGGCTGGACACATGGTCAAAGATGCGTGGGGAGATCCTGGAGATAGCCAGGACGCAGCAGTATCTGAAGAACACGCCGCAGGACATGGAGCTCGGTGGCGTCCCAAAGGGCAAAGGAAAAGACAAAGGAAAGGACAGAGGAAAAGACAAAGGAAAGGACAAAGGAAAAGGCAAGGGAAAGGACAAGGGAAAAGGCCAACAGAGTGGCACCGGTGCTGGCAAAGGCCAGCGTCTTTGCTTCTACTGCCAGAAGCCGGGGCATACAAAGGACGTGTGCCGAAAGAGGCTCTCTGACCTGAAGAAGGCCGAAGGCAGTGGAAAAGGTAGACCTGCAGCAGGGGCACCTGAAAGCACGGAGCCCGAAGGTGAGTCGGTAGCAGCTTCCACGTTGTGTGTTGCAGTGCCGTTGTGTGGGGTTCCGGTTTGTGCGGGGACTAGGGAAAGGTTGTTGGTTGACACAGGCGCAGGTGGAGG